GGCTTAGGGATTACTAAGGAGCAGGTGCTAAAAGAGTTTAGGACAATTAGGCGTGCTCACTTTCTCCTATCTTGGCTACAGGACAAGTATAAAGATCTAGTGCATCAGAGTATGTCTAAGGCAGCCGCCAAGGTATACATGTTACATCTTGTAGGATGTATTATCTTAGTAGATGATTCTCATGTATATATTGATGCGAAGTACATGTGGTTGTTTTGTGGCTTTGACCATGTTGGTTGGGCATGCTGCACTGACAATTCTATATGTTACACTTTGAGAGACGATTATTTTTGGAGATGAGGCAACTTGCTGGTTATATGTGTCTATTTCAGGTGTGCGAGCATTTCCTTGAGACTATTTTAGTTTTTTTAATGACATTTCTTGATTTTCTTCTGTTATTGCAAAGTGATGGATATACGAGCATTTCTCGTCCATTTGTGACATGCAAGTTATTCTTACCACCACAAGGTCCGCATGGGCCAAGAGATTGAGGGGCAGGCATGCACACCTAGGAGGTGTTGTGGAGTACAGGAAGATGGTCGATATGTTGATTGTAGACGATGTTTTCTAGACACCCTATGCAGACCATAGAGTGCATCATGAGTTCTATGACACTTTATTGCTTTCTAGTTATTTACGATGCGAAACATTAATGGCTAGACACTTACCTTAGAGGTGTTTGCACTAGTTTGGATATGTTCAGGACATCCCATGTTTAGTTCCAACTATTCCATTTGAGGGAATTAATAGCTGGTTTGTTGGTCATATTTTGGGGTCTGCTCGTGCCATTAGGGATTGTGCAGTGGATGTTCAAATCCTAACGGAGTGTGTGGATAGATACTTGGAGTGGTATCTTATTGTACCACACCCTCACATTATTCCACCTAGGTAACACGTAGATGCTGTCAGACCTTCTCATGTTGGACCTTCTGATGCTAGGGGACCTTTTGATGGCGTACTACCGCCTCCACATGGCGAGGATGACGTTCAACGCCTATAGATGATAGCATTCATTATGGATAACTTTGTGGGTTTGGTGAACCCAGATGGCGAGGTTTATACTTTGGCATCGTAGGCGACACACATCCCTTGGGGAACCTATTTAAATCTTATTATCATTTTTGTATTATTTGTATATTATGTGTAGTATTACTCACACATTTGCACAATAGTATTTATTGATAACATTTTGACACTTCCATTGATGCATGATGAATACTGATGGCAAACAAGTCTGACCCATTAGTCATGCCCATTTTACCTGCACTTTAGCGCATGACGGGTTAAGGGATTAGGCTCTTACCCTCTAATGAGTCTACCCGCCCAATTTTTTACGGGCTTTTGCGGGTGCGGGTATTAACATAATTTTATGCATTTTTAGGATTAAAAGGTATAGAGCCCATAGGCCCGCCTCGCCCCGCTCGCACTTTATTGCGAGGCAGGCTAAGTTTTTAGGCTCACACCCTTAACTATTCCCACCCTAATTTTTGTGGGCTTTTACAGGGAGGGTCTTAACGCGGCGGGCATCCCCTTTGCCACCCCTAATGATGAACATAACTTAACATTTGACAAACACTTACATTACTTAGACAGATGATTACATAACAAAACAATAATAAATAACAACATATAGATATTATTAGATGATTCTGTATGTTTCAACATCTTGATTATGTCATCGACAAATTTAGAAATTGTCGCATCAACCCATTAGTTAGCCTACAATGATATGTTCCCTACATAACTTTCAAATATTCACTGGTCTTCAACTCAATAAGGTCGTATTTCATCTTTCCATCAGTACCAATCCAATATGCACAAAACTTGATCTTACTCGCTTTTCTGTTTTCGATGTCGGGAAACATATCATTAACCTTCCCGTTGAAGTACACTTCTGCCTTAAATAAAAACTGAGGTATTGTAAGATGTTATTCTTAATAACACATAACCCCTATTTATACAACTTTGGATTCATTATAGACCACACAATACAATTGGTGCAATCATAAGAAGAATAAGAATTATATACCTTTGATATATCTTTGGAAAAAACATTATCTTGACATAGTGATTGCTCAAACATCATGTTCATCCGAAATTCCAAGTTCCTTTTGTATCTTGAAGAAATATTCTTTAGCAAGTAGCTTTATAAAAATGTCCGCCAATTGGTTATATGTATGACGAAAGTAACTTTGACGTCTCCTTTAAGCACATGATCACGTAGAAAATGATGTCATATATCTATGTGTTTGGTTCTTGAGTGCATAATTGGATTTTTGGTTATGTTAATTGTCGTTGCGTTATCAACATCATAGCGGAATGCATCTAAGATCAAGCCCATAATCACAAAGTTATTTTTTCATCCATAAAATCTGAGCACAACAACTACCTACTACCATATACTCAGCTTCTGTGGTACTGAAACCATGAAACCAATGCATTACCTAAGATATGACATGTACTACTTGTGCTTTTGCGATCGGTTTCACAACCTAAGATATAACAACAAAGTGATTCTTATTTTTTCGGTTAAAAGAAATAAGTGACATGCAAAAAAATAAATGCAGTAAATAAATATCACAATGATACATCCTTGTTCTTCTTTCCAAACAAAAGTACTCCAGTCCCCTCACACCCCATAAAATATTTTACTATGTCAAAATTCTTGTTATAGTCAACAACACCAGACTCTCTTACAAAATTCTAACACAAGTAAAAAAGCACCCCACTTTCTATACTTTTACAATCTAAAAGAAAGAACCCTACTTTCTCTTTTACACGCTTTTTATGACAACCTGATAAACAAATTTACAACGGACATATACAACAAGAGTATCGTGGTGTTTCCAATATTATTTTTGAATCATGTTGGTTTTGGAATTTACTCTTATAAATTCAATGTCCTGTCATGAAAGCCAATGTATTATAGTGTTACAATGTTAATGTTATTTCCTTATAAAGCAATCCCATTCAACATTAACTCACAAAAATATATTGAGTTGTATATTAATTTTGTGCTTGAAAAGGTTGCTCGTGGTTAGATTTGCGTTCTTCATGTTCCGCCATGTCATCAAATAATTGACAATTTTACAAAAATTATTTTGCTGCAGCTACTTAGCCGTTTTGACTATAGAGATGTATTAAATATGGAATATTATTAATAAACTTCCATCTTTAGTAATACCATTATGTAGCTTGAATAACCTTTAGTAATACTTCTATGTAAATTAAACAAGCTTTAATTTTATAGAATCAACTCTGATTCAAACACTTATGTATATATACACATTTCATATATGAGGCAAGACAATTATTCAATTAATAACATAAGGAATTTGTCCTTATTTCACTTCACAACTGGAAAATAGTCCATTCATTTTACATTTGAAGAAATTTCATTGTAATCAATTTTGATCACTACAACCATTACGACTCTTTACTCCTAGCTTTCTTTGCCGTAAATCTACAAATACTCATTTGTCTCACAATTAAAGACTTCCTTGAATAAGAAATAGATGTTTGTTAACAACTTAAAATAAGAGAGGTAAACTCAATAAAATTCAAATTATAAGTGAATAATGTTTCTAAAAACAAAATAGTGATAATAGCATTTGTCTTTTTGTATATGACAATAGAAAGCAAAACACAGAAATGTTGTAAAAATGAGAGTGCCAAAAGTTTTTCTTAAAAGGTTTAGTCTTCAACATTAGAAATTAGAATAGAGGTTTTGAATATTTGATTTGTCAATCATTGAACCGTGGGAGAATAGATCTGTTGGGAATTGTACTATCCTAATACTGATATAAGTGTTATGATGTGACAGTTGGAAAATATTGAATGAATGATGAATCATCGCAACAAATTATTTATCATATGGGCACAAGTGGTTACTTTGAATTGGGTGTAAATGACAATGTATGTCTAAATACATATGATCATATTTGTCTTGAGGTCTAGATGACCAATTTTGGTAGGAATGGAATACCGACGTCTTCATCCCGTCCTACAAAAGTCTGAAAAAAAAATAGATTGAAAAGAAAAGGACATAATTCAGATTGTCAGTCTAAAATTTTGACCGCTCCGTTTGCGACCATTGCACTTTTAAAGTATAAATTTGTAAAAAAAAAATTATGTTAATGAATGCGCACACAAAAATGGGTCGAGATATGGTGGGCATATTAGAGAGAGCAAACGTAAAACTTTTGTCTATTTCACAAAAAAAAATTACGGACAAAACAGACATGTTTGACCGGTTGGACCCCTTTTGTCACCCGTATATCTTAGTGACTTTGATACAAATGATCATGTTCTCTATTCAGAGGTTGACGATCATAGCTCATTGTAAATGCAGATGTTCATAACTCTTTTACGTAGATGATAAAAAATTATTTTACTATATGGTTATCATCAAAACTTTAAAGATTAAGGTCTTCAAACAACTTTTAGTTCAAACTATTTTTCTTCAATTCACTTAAGCTACCATTCTACACTTTCAATTAGTACTTTAAATTTGCAAAAATATGCTCCTAGTTCTAGAATTGTGGAATGCCATAAAATTGGTAAAACCATTACAGAAGATGAAAAAGCTATTTGAAACAAGGAAGTTTTAACAGGGCAGTTTCACTAGTGTTTCTGGCAGTAGTAACCTTGGTACTACATAGTCTAGTTTCTTGGAAAATTGAATGACCAAAAGGTTTTTTCACATATCCCTTAATAGAAAAAATAAGAAGATTCATTCTCTTGACAGATATTGCCGATCAAATAAAGAAAACTTTACATTACCATAACATAACACAGACATACATAAATGCAACTATTGTGCATAAGCAACACCATAGTCTAAAGAGAATTTTACTCTATTCTTATTATCTCCACTTTTATTATTGCTACCAGGAGAATCATAATTCTCTCTTACATAACAAACAACAACCCTGAAACTTAAATTACTAAACTCATAACTCTAAACATAAAACTGCAAACCATTTTTTCAAGACTAAACTCTAAATAACATAATCATAAAACTCAGCAATATTCGAAACATGATCCATAGTATGGCTAGGAATCTTATCAAGCTTAATAGGATTGTTCTTCCCTCCAACCAACTTCGCCGGATTCCCAACGACAGTAGTCCTCGGAGGCACTTCCTTAATCACAACCGAACCAGCGCCAATTTTCGCACCTTCACCAACCTTAACATTCCCCAAAATACACGTCCCCGCACCAATCAACACTCCGTCGCCAATCTTCGGATGCCTATCGCCATGAGACTTACCAGTCCCTCCTAACGTCACACTATGCAGAATCGACACATCATTCCCAATCACAGCAGTTTCTCCTACCACGATCCCCGTCGCGTGATCGAACAGAATTCCACTTCCAAACTTCGCTCCCGGATGAATATCAACTCCGAAAACTTCACAAACTCGATTCTGAATTATAACAGCCAAAACCTTCCTATCATCTGTCCACAAATTATGAGCTATCCTATGAGCTTGACATGCTAAAAAGCCTTTGAAATTCAAGAAACAATGAACATGAGTTATACAAGCAGGATCTCTTTCCTTAACTGCTTTAATATCATTCTTCACAGCATCCATAATATCTTTATCAGATTCCAAAACTCCAAGAAAAAGATCCGAAAGAGTTGTACTAGGAAGACTTACACTGCTTAATTTAACAGCTAAGTGATTAGCCAAAGCACTTTCCAATGATTTATGAGACAGAACTGAAATATGATAGAAACCAGACAAAATAGGTTCAACAGACACATCAGCTTTAGCTTCTTCTTTCATCTTCATCCACATGGAATCTTCAACCTCTTCTTTTTCAGATTGTTTAACAACTGAACTAGTATGTAAGGTTTTGATGATCCCAAAACTCGGTGTGAAGATTTTTCCATCATCATGAGGGGAAAGATTCTTTGAATTTGCTTCAACAGAATTTGGAATAGAAGTGAATGGGTTGGATTGAGATTTGTGGTGAGTAAGAGAAAGAAGAGACCATTTTTTTGGTGTTGGATTGAGAAAGAAGTTGAGGAATCGTCCTCTCATCATAGTAGCTTTGATTGATTGAAGATCTAAAAGAAATTATCAATGGTTAGCACTTACCACTGAGCAGAAAAAACACATCTTGGTCCTATATATTTCAACTTATTATAAAGTATATAGCATAAAGTTTAATTTAATAATAATAATGTCAGACCCTAGGTCGAATCAAATATTATTTTTTAAAAATAATTTAATAATCAGAATTTATATTTTTTTAATGGAATATGAAGATTTTTTTTTTTTTTTTATTGGGCAAATATTATGTATATATTATTTATTTTAAAATAGTTTTACTAATTTTTAAATCTCCATTGATGGGTATAATAATATATTATGCCGTCTGCTTCAAAAGACTCTTTTCTTCCCATCAGTAGCACACCAGTATATGTAACCAATGACATCATTTCAATTTCAATATTGAATTTAACGGTCATTGGCCATCTCAATATGTATTCTAAAGGGTAGACACTATATCTTTATAAGTTTATATATTACATGTTTAATTAGATATTTTTTCTCATAATTTAAAGTTTCATTTTAATCTTTTAGTTAAAAGTTATTTTCTCATGATTTAAAGTTTCATTTTTTATCTCATGATGTTATTTGTTGAAAGAATCTTTTATTAGAGAATATTGAATATTATGAAATTTTTTTAAAATATTATTTTTGTAAGAGACACATCTTATATTTATAAAAAATTTAAAATAATATTTAAATGTTTTCTATCACATAAATCTTTAGTTTTTCAACTAATGTAAAAGTATTATCCAGTCAATCACACTTCTTATATTTTCAAAAGACTCTAATATATACTTTAAAATAAAGCAGATGGTTCCGAGACAAAATTCTTTTTACGATAATTTTAAATTGAGATATATAAGTCTACTTATTTGGAAGGTTTCTAGGAGGAAGGTATATTTTTAATTATTTATGTTTCATTCAAATTTTAGGAGACAGGTAGACATGCGAGTGGAACAAAATTCGTAATCATTTTTTTTCTCCAATTTGAAAGATTTGGAGGAGATGCGAAGCAATATTAATTTTATATTTAAATAATAATTTTATTTATTAAATTATCATCTATTTTATTTTAATATTTTAAAATTATTTATTATATTTTTCTTTTTTTTTTATTCTTTTCATTAATTTATTATAATTATATTTTATGTTTAAATTATTTTGATATTTAAGATAAATATATAAAAAATCATCATTTTCCTGTCCTCTCATTAAAAAAATTCTCATTTTCCTGTCCTCTTTTTCATTTCTCTCCGTTAAATAAAAAGAATATTTTAAGCAAATTTATTAATATTTTTTAACTAAAATTTCTCAAAATAAAATATAAAAAGAGTAGTTTATAAATTTATTTATGAAGTCTTTAATTTGAAATGTGAGTTACCAACAGAAGTGTAAATAGATTGGATTGAGATAGACTTTGCAAAGTTTAAGTCTGATCTTCTAAAATAATAAAAACTTAAGTCTGATCTATAACTTATCAAAAGTTCATTTTTTGATCTAAGTCTGACCTTCTCGAAGACCTAATTAGCATATTAGTCTATTTAAAAAGTCCATATCATTTGAACATATGTAAATAAACAATTCAACTAATGTTTAAATATACTAAAAAATCAAAAGTACAATAAGCCTAAATGTTTATTTACGTAAACTTATTTGAGGTTACATAAAAATATAAATTTTATGAGATTATTTATTTACGAGAATTTGTAAAAAAAAAAATTATGACATTATTCGTAAAGTTTTTTCAACTTATTTATTACAAAATTTTCAAGATAATTAAACTTTATTTTTTGTTTTAATATAAAATATAAAAAAATATAAAACATAATATATTTATTAAAATATATCAATTTAATAGATTTAAAAAAAATTATAACCTATAGTTTGACTTATTTAACTAAATAGATTTAACAAACACTCTAAATATTTTCTACTTAAAAAAACTGGCCTGATATTGATTTGTGCGAATTTAATTCCATAGACTTCTTTTAGTTGGTCTGAACTTCCAATGTTTAATTAACAAGTATGAAATAGGAGAATCAGCTCGTGCTTCATGATTACTTTGATCTATTCTTAAATATTATTTTTAATAACTTTTACTTATTATTAAAAAGAATTATCCTTTGTTTTTATAAAGTAAGGCAGAAATCTATTATTTGTATTGTAAAGTAAGGGTCCTACAAAAGTAGTAATAATATAATATTTATTTTAGATAAGACTTGGCAAATCAATGCATGTATATTTGTCTTGTTTCCGAAATAGTGTTATTTTATACTAATAGATATTAGATGATCTTATTTTTCAAGTGGGCCTCATCAACGGGAGAGTGGAGGAAAGGATGGAACGGAAGGGGATGAGAGTTACTTTAACTAAATTTATGTTTACTTCAAAGAAGGGAAGGAGAGAGAAGAAGATGAATTTTTAATTGCGGGAGGGAATGAATTTTAAAACTAAATTATTTTTTTATTCTTACAAATATTATCATTTGTATTTATTAAAAACGATTCTAAATAAAAATAGTTTTGAGTAAATTTTATCAAATAAAAACTCCTTCGTAGTGAGTTCTCAGTGTTTTAACTCATTGTTCATTGCAATTTTACAAAATTCTCAGAAGTACTAGAAAATGTTATTTCTCTTACTACATTAAAAGTTCAATTATGATCAAATCAAACTTTATAATACATGATTGAACCAAGGTAAATTAGATGTCCAATTTGTAATATGATCCATATAAACTCATCAGTATGTGCAGACAAAAAAACAACTATATTAAATTTAAAGTTTTGTAAAGTTTACTTTGAAACTTATCAAATAAATTTTATTTGAATATGAAATTTATTTTATAATTATTCTCAAAGCATCCATGGCATATTCAATGTTCATGGAATAAGAAATTTATCTGATAATATATAACTATAATCAAAACTTTTAGTTAACGGCAACTGAGCAATCATAATTTTTAGTTAACGGTCGATCAATCACTGATTATAGTTATATGTTACACGTATAACCAACATAAAATCAAAACAGAAAAATTCAACAAAACAAAATGGAAAAAACTCATCTGAGAGCAACAATGCACATGTAACAGTAGCACAATAGAAGAAAAAAAAGAAACGTCAAACAATATAGAGAAAAACCTAAATCTAGTTTTTAATAATTCAATAAGGATAATTTTAAAATTGAAATAAATAAGTGAGGATAAATTAGGAAATATAATAAAATTATAAACAATGAATCTCGACTCTCCTCCAAATCCCTCCAATTTGAGGGAGAGCAAAAAGTGAGTCTATGAGGGAATTCAGTTTAGAAAAATTTCTGCACATCTGAAACATTTAAGCGTCAGATTGTTCCGTAGATACAGCTCCGAAAATTTCTGCTATATTTGAAACCTGCATGATCACTCCCCTATTGTTATGTTTTCTTCCTCCACACTCACCTTCGTCAACCTAAAAAACCCTAAAATATCAAAAATTTATTTTCACTCCAAAACTCTAAGTTTTTCGTGCAACAAATCAAATGGAGGAAGAGAAGATCGAATTTTAGGTAAAGATTGCACTTTGTCCAATACATTACTCACATTAATCATCAAACTTGTGGAAAAAAATTAACGTTGCTTCCGGAGTTGTACCTTCGAAACATGTTAAAGATTAACACTTTCGAATGTACATCTCTGGAACGTGTCTGTTCTATTTTTTTGCAGTAGTTTATTTTTCTTATCATTTACAAATAGATATAGAGCACCCTGATAATATCTCAAAAGAATTAGTTTCCACAAATGATGTTTCTCTAAATCTTCAAGGGGTTGTCGTAAAGTCGGTAGATGTCAGTGTTGACTTTAATAAAAAGCAAGAGTTTGATGATCGTGATAGCATGCTCACATGGATTCGTAGACTGCAACTAGACTTAGTTTTATGAATGTTAATTTATCGTTGCAATGTTGACTTTCTGATATTCTGTTTCTGAGTTTCTTCCGTAAATACACATACGGAAATATTTCGTAGATGCACCTATGGAAATGATTAAAAAAAGCTGAAAAAAGTGCGTCTGGAGATACATCTTCGGAATCAGGGGATATTTTTGGAAGGGCACACGGTGCCTAAAAACCCCAAAGGGGTGAGGTAAGAAATCTCCAAAGATAATGGATACAACAAAGGTGTTATTGTTGGGTCTGGCTCGTACCGTGAGACAAATAAAGGATTGATAAGGGGATTATTTTTGAGAATTTTTTAAAGCATCATATATGTTTTTAATACATCATGTGAAATTTTAAAATTCTCTTCCGTTTTTGGAGATATATCTCCAAATGTATTCAAATATACATATTTCATTCGTTTTTGAGTCATACATCAATTTTATGAATAAATTTATTTCGAAAATATATCTTCAAAAAATTTTCGAAAATTAAAAAAACAAAAATATACCACTTGAAGTAGCTTCAAAATTTCATATATTTGTAAGTATTAATGCTAATTTATTTGATAAAGTTGGAGGCATATTGTAAGATTTTAAACACGGAAATACCAGTTGTTGTGTTTGTATATTGTTCTTTTTAAGAACATCTTAAACAAAAGGATTTATATTAGTGCTAATTTATTTGATGAAACCAATGCAAGTGATATATTTGTGTTTTTTTAGTTTTTGAAAATATAATTTTGAAAATTTTCTGGAGATATATTTTTGAAACAAATTTATTTATAAAATTGAGGTGTGACTCTAAAATGAATGAAATGTATGGATTTGGATATGTCCGAAGATATATCTCCTGAAACAAGGGACATTTTTGGAATTTTGCGTGGCGAATTAGAAACATATAGGGTGCTTTAAGAAATTTTCTTATTTTTTCCACCTTTAGAGGTGTTAGTTTACGGTAACAAGATTGATGATTGGAAGGTCCACACTGTTTACAATAATTTATTCACAATCTTTACTATTACTAATATTTTCACAAGCTTGTGTTACACTTGTTACTAATATTTTATCTAAAC